TATATATATATATATATATTTATATATATATATATATATAAACGTGTTTGAAATTTTTGTGAAGTAATTTCCGCAAAGCTCTTTTACCCTTGTTTTTCTAAAATGACTTCGATTTAAGGCTTTATGGTGGTTGCTTATGGTCGGGTTAGCACGTCAGCTTTATAATACTTTTGTAGTTCATTTGCAATGAGTTGTCTCTTATTGCGACGAAAGTAAATCAGGTTTTTAAAGGTGTTCACTGCGGCACTGGATGGAAAAAAAATGAATTATGAAATGTCGTTATGAAAATTTAACCAAACTGGTTGTTTCAAAAGGGGGAGGAAAATTGAAAGCATGAGTGCTACGAGGAGTTCTTCCTTTACAGGATGTTTAAGATGGAATTGTCCAACTAGGTGACATCCTCCGTCAATGCATTTTTCTACTGGAAAAGAAGAGATATCTTTTTTTTCTTGAAAATTTAGGGTTAAATTTTTAAAAAATAACCTTAAAAAAGAAGAGAGATATATGGATATTTTTTCTTCTGAAAATGTAGGGTATTTTTTTTCAAAAACTTAACTGCTTAAAGTGTTTCGAGTGAATATTTTGGTACAGTGGTAAGTCAGAGTAAGATTAGATGGGTGGTTTTAAGACCGAACTAGTTAAAGTCATGGATACTCTCATATTATAAGATGAGCATTTTTTCCCTTTTGGTTTTTCCTTGTGCCCCCTGTCTTAAGCAGCTATTAGTTTTACTGAATGTAAATACCCCACTGTTGACTTGTCCAGCGATGTCACGAAACCTGATGTGGTTGCTAAGAATAAATGTGAACTGCGCACTATTTCCAGACATAAGGATAAAAGTGATCTCCAGTGGGTGTTTAAATCAGGAATCGTGGATACTGCTTTCTAGAGTTTTCAAAGGTCATGAAGCTGTGTTGACCTTGGAAGTATCGGCTTATGGAGCGGTTTGACTATAGCTGCTAAGCGTTTTCATTGTGTCAAAGAAACAGCGCCCGATTTGAACGTCTTTTCTTTTGCGGCAGAAATCTTTATTTTTGTTTAGAGGTTCGGATTAAAAGAAAAATGGACTATTGTTGTGTCCAATATGTCATTAATTCAGCTGCGTTTATAGACGGTCTTCCATATGATCAAGGTATAGTCGCTGGTTATTTAGGAACTGTCTGAACAGCTGATTATTCAAGACAAAAGCGGAAAGGAAAAAGTTCAAATGATTTGAGAGTTGTAAAATATTATAACGCCTGATTAATATTTGGATTGTCTTTACCACGTGACTTGAATTTTTTGAATTGAGGATTGGTTAAATGACCAGTCAGTGCTTCTAGATTCGAAGATTGAAAAAAGGAATTCATGGGTATCAGGATTTTCTTTTCATTTTTCTCGTCGATACTGTGCGACATTTTTTTAAAGGCAGTAGAGATCTTAGTGTCGCGTAGATTATCCGCAGAGTTTCACTGCTTAAGGACGCTTTTTTTTTTTTTTTTTTTTTTTTTTT